CTTCGTGAGGCCAGGCCAATGATGCACTCCATGCCATTAGAGTTCATTTGGTAGATAAAGCCGTCATATTCCGCAATACTGTCCGGTCAGCCAAGTCACAGGCCTCATCCACCAGGGCATGGACTCAAGTTCGCTCGGTGGAAACAGCAGTAAATCTCAATGCCAGTATATATTCGAAATGCAGGTTGCAACTGGCTAATCTCCCTGACCACGACCTCTTGAAGAAATACCTTCCTTTGAAGAAAGAAGACCTGAAAGCAAGCTCTGCAGTGGCCGATCCCAATGCACGTGGTCAGAGGGACACGACTCTTTCATGGTTCTGGTCCTTGGATGTTCAGGGCGACACATCAGGCAATGACTGGATGACAGAATGTGAGTGTCTGCTGTATCCGGTGGTATCAGGATGTCCGGTCTCACATATTCTCAATAGTTTATCGGGTGAATTGGCTCCGGACGAAAGCACTGCGTGATCGTTGGAATGAGGAGGTTATTCTTGTCAAACATGAAATGCAGTGGTCCATTAATTTCTTTAACCACAAAGCCAAGCAATGGCTCAGTCACATGGACACCGCGACTTCTGCAGGGCTCACCGGACATACATGTTATGCTGCCCGACAATCTCACATATATCACCAACTAGCAGGACATGCAGAGGATACTTTCCGGAAGATGATAGGTCAGCCAGAACTACCGGTTTGATGGTTCATGGTACCGGTCGGATAGTTCATGGTACCGGTCGGATAGTTCATGCCACCGGTCGGATGGTTCATGGTACCGGTCGGATGGTTCATGCCATCGGTCGGATGGTTCATGGTACCGGGCGGGTGGTTCATGGTACCGGGCGGGTGGTTCATGTTACCGGTTGGATATATAGTTCATGGTGCCGGGTGGATAGTTCTTGGTACCGGTTGGACAGTTCTTGGTACCGGTTGAATCTTTCATAACACCGGTTAGGTAATATGAAATTATGGTTGACACATGTAAATAATTCTGAGTGTCGGTCTCACTACAGCCTCACATTCCCTCCATGAACAATACTGTAACTCTCATCCCCCCTGACCAAGTCATCATTGCTGCTAAGGGCAATCAAATCACTGCTGGGGATATCTCTCGCGCCTTATTCTATGCCAATTCCCGGTTGTTGGCCATGCGCCTCTATGTTGACAAGAGTTTTGCCACTGACATGCCTGGCTATGCAACAAATTTTTACATCTTGATGAAATGGGAGATGGAGGTAGCTATCCGGCAATGCTGATATTCCCTTGCACTCATCTTCTACACTGTCATACAGACCTTTGTAACTCCATTCATCAATATATCATTTATCACCCGGTTGTCCGCTGTCATTCCCCACCTTCTCAAGGGGGTGCTTGCAATCATGACCGCACACACATTGGTGGACCGGCGACCGGATGTTGATGCTATCCTGCAGGATATCAAGGCATTGCGCCTCTCTGTTGATTCCAACGCATGCGATGACTATGACATTGCTCATATGCCGGACTACTTCAATGACTGGTGGAAGGAAAGTCTCGGTTCTTGCCGGGTGTCCGATATGTTGCCAAAGTCATCCATCAAAGATGTGATGGATTTGGTTGAATTTCACTGTTCACAACTCGTAAGTCCCTCAGATCATGTTAATCTTTGCCGGATGCTCACAACATCCAAAATAGCCGGATCATGTAAGGTCCGGCATGCTCCCATATATTCTTCAGGGTCCGGATCCGCTGCCAGATACAACCGGTTCAACATCTCTTGTGCAGTGCCACAAGACGCCAATTGGGAGAGAGTTGCTGGATATGTTACAGGGAAGGATGAACAATTTTAGAAGCTCAAGTGATAGGTTGGCCGGATTGGTTGGGCCGATTGATGAACTCACAAGGGCTGTCGCATCCTCACAGGCACTCATTGACCGGTTGAACACAGATGTCAGTGCATAGTGCATCCTGGGTGCAGTCAAGGACAACCTGACATCTTCCAGCATCCGGTCAATATGTTATACTATTATATGTTACTGTCATATTCACTGCAATGTAAATGAGAAGCACCGGTTTTTGTCTTTGCAATCAGGCCGTGTGAATGTGAAACTATTTTCTCTAACTGCTATCTCTCCGGCTATCATTCAACAGTGGTGTTTTTCCATCACTCATTTGGTTTTCCAGACATGGTCGCAATCCCACTAGACTGGGCTTTGTATCAGACCTACCTTGCTGGTGAATTGGTTCACGAGATTTTCATGTCCACAATTCATCAACGACCGGCAAAAAACATGAACCTTGGACTCTTGGATATTGACACTTGCATTGCATTAGAGCATCTTGCCAATGTGATGGCCTCTGCATACTCCAATGCCGGTAGGTATGCCGGTCCATCACCACATTCCGGTCAACTCACCACCATACAGTTCATCTCAAAATAGACATGGTCAGATACAATGATGCCCTGGACAAAGATGAATCCGGTCGAAGTGCAAAACGAGAGCAGACCCTCTTCGACAGATTCCCCCCCGAACAGGAGCATTTCTTGACAACACCAGCCGTCATCGTCGATTCCGGAGGTAGAATCATTGTCTGGTATTTGCCTGGAGCTATGACTGCTATGATGATGGTCAGTCTTCCATTGATCTTCATTTGAATTTCAGCTCAGCCGGACATACATAACAGCAAGATATGCATGGTGCAACGCATTCCATGAGTGATTTATTGAAGCACAGCATAACAACTGGTAGGACTGTTGAATGGAGGACCCATCGGTCTAACTTTCATCCAAGTCCGGATGGCAAGATTACGCCCGGTTGCATCAATATATCCCCTGCATGGTTTCAGCAAGGAAGAGAGGTACGTCCGGTCCATATATATTGAAGTCGCCGGTTTGAAGTATTCTAGAAACATGGTTTTCCAAAGCTTGACCCGGAAGATGGGTTTTCGCCCGAGGTATCCGCTGCACTGAAAGGTGATGTCGGTCGGAACATTACGACCTCCCTTCAAAGGTCCGGTATACTAGTTTCGGCTGCACTTCGAGTCATGCACCCTGATCTTTATTGGGCCGGAATGGAAACCCAAGTCAGGCTGGGCGAATGGGCAACCCGATATCATTTGCATGAGATGTACCATCATCTACAACACTGGACATCCATATTCAATGTTGTGTCGGTCATATGCAATCGCCGGACACCGCCTCATAGAGACCCAAAGTGCCGACCGGCGGCATTTGATATCATGACAACCGCTGGTGTTTATCAGCCGGTTATCATGGATTTTATGAACCTCGGAATCAAATTTCTATACAACTCCGGCTCAATGTTGGCTTCATCATGTCGCCTGGTGAGACATTACATGAATGTTGAAGAAGGCAACCGGATTGTCACTGCGTGGTACATGCGAGACAGCATTCACAACTTTGTCGGGACTCCAAGCACAGAGTATGCAAAATATAGCAATGTAAATCAGCGACCCAGTGGAGATGGAATGGGTTTGAGGACTCTGGGTCAACAGACTGTAGATATTTAGACAAGTGATGTCATTCAAAGATATATTTCCGGTAGATCTTGTGTTGCTATACAATGGATCCCCCGGTTGTTCTATGATGGATATGCCAGTTACTGTATGGATGTACCGAATATGGTTTTTGCATGCATGCACCGGTCTCCATTGCACCCCACAGTACCGGCCCACCCGCCTCCATTGCACCCCATAACGCCAGCCCACCCATCTGCATTGCACCCAGGTAGCCCCGGCCCACTGGTCTTGATTTCACCTGGTTGACCAGCCCACCCGTCTCCACTGCACCCCATAACCCTGGCTCGATTTCACCTCGTTTACCGGCCCACCCGTCTCTATTGCACACCGCAATGCTGGCTCACCCGTCCTGATTTCACCTGGTCAACCGGCCTACCCATCTCTACTGCACCCCGTAGCCCCGGCCCACCTGTCTTGATTTCACCTGGTTGACCGGCCCACCCGTCTCCACTGCACCCCATAGCCCCGGCCCACCCGGCTCAATTTCACCTCCTTTACCGGCCCACCCGTCTTGATTTCACCTGGTTGACCAGCCCACCCGTCCTGATTTCACCTGGTCCACCGGCCCACCCGTCTCCACTGCACCCCATAGCCCCGGCCCACCCAGCTCAATTTCACCTCCTTTACCGGCCCACCCGTCTTGATTTCACCTGTTCTACCGGCCCACCCGTCTGCACTGCACCCCGTAACCCCGGCCCACCCGGCTCGATTTCACCTCGTTTACCGGCCCACCCATCTCCATTGCACCCCGTAACACCGGCCCACCCATCTCAATTTCACCTCATTTACCGGCCTACCCGTCTCCACTGCACCCTGTAACACCGGCCCCCTCGTCTACATTACATTTCATCTTCCGGCCCACCCGTCTCCATTGCACCCTGTAACACCGGCCCACCCATCTCCATTGCACCCCATACGGCCGGCCCACCCGTCTCAATTTCACCTCATTCACCGGCCTACCCGTCTCCACTGCACCCCGTAACACCGGCCCCCTCATCTACATTACATTTCATCTTCCGGCCCACCCGTCTCCATTGCACCCCGTAACACCGGCCCACCCGTCTCAATTTCACCCCATTTACCGGCCTACCCGTCTCCACTGCACCCTGTAACACCGGCCCCCTCGTCTACATTACATTTCATCTTCCGGCCCACCCGTCTCCATTGCACCCTGTAACACCGGCCCACCCATCTCCATTGCACCCCATACGGCCGGCCCACCCGTCTCAATTTCACCTCATTCACCGGCCTACCTGTCTCCACTGCACCCCGTAACACCGGCCCCCTCGTCTACATTACATTTCATCTTCCGGCCCACCCGTCTCCATTGCACCCTGTAACACCGGCCCACCCATCTCCATTGCACCCCATACGGCTGGCCCACCCGTCTCCATTGCACCCTATTCCCCGGCCTCCTCGTCTCCATTGCACCCCATATGGCTGGCCCACTCGTCTCCATTGCACCCCATTCCCCGGCCCCCTCGTCTCCATTGCATCTCATCTACCGGCCCCCTCGTCTCCATTGTGCCTTATTTACCGGCCCACTCGCTATCACACACTGGATTCACCACCATTCATAATCACCTATATAGTACATTGCTATACTACCATGTATACTATATACCCCCGGCCCATCCGTTTGCCTCGGATACACCACACCCTCGGCCCACTCGTCTATCACGGTACAATTATTGCCACCGGCCCACACCGGATGGCTCGTCTCTATCGGTACATTGTCACGCCCGGCTGCCCGTCTCAGACGGGTGAATTCACTGAAGGGGCTCCGTCTGGTCAATGCAACATGAATCGACCCATGCCCAGTGATACTCTGTCTTGCTACGAACAATGTTGCAGAATGACTGCAACTTTACCAGACCTCCAGCTGCGTTCAACTCGTACACGACCTCGTCCTTGATGTCGTGCAGCAGCGGCTCCGTCCCTTCTCACCTATGCGACAACATGACACAACGGAAGTACGTTGTCACTGTTTCCGCGATGCGCTCAGGATGGAGGTCTGGATTCTTCATAGTGAACAACAGAAGGTCATTGTACTCTGTACTCTTCTTGAAGGTGCTAATCTGCGCCCCTCGATCACATAAGAGTCCGGCAGTGGTGTTCAGCAGACGAAGCGGGGTGGTGTCAAGTTGAGCGTCAATGACCTTTCGAATGGCACTTTCTGCA